TGAGCTCAGGTGAGAACAGATGGCAGGAGGCCGGAGTTCGGTGTAGGCGGGCTGGGAAGGCTGTAACTTCTGAGTACCTTGGCCAATGGGGAAAAGGAGAGGGCGTCCCTCGGTCAGGAAATTAGGATAAAAGGGAGGCTGCGTCCCCCAGCAATTTGAGAGACCCGACAGGGATATGCCCGGTGCACAATCCCTTTATTCGAATAAAGTTTTAGGAATCCTCTGTCTCCTTTTGGACATTCAGTTCTTGACAGGGAGATTTTCCGCACAATAGTATCATAAGTTAATGTGGTCCAACGTACATAAACTCTTTTCTATTACATAATGGAAGTGAAACTGCTCTAGAAGTGCATTTCACTGGATGCACTTAAAAGCATATGATATACTTAAAGAACACTTTTAACAAGAGCTTTCCTGAAATACTCAGCTACATACTGCTTTGAAACTTGTGGCTTTTTGACTCTATAGATTTTATTTTTACTGGCTTTTGGTCCATAAAAGTCTAGTTAGTGCTGGGCTTCCTTATTCTAAAATATTTATTATGTTCTCTGGCCTGCACATTATGCAACAGCTGATCCTGAAAGGCATCCAAAACCCAGGAACAAAGTGGCACCCATCATTCGCCCAGACATTTCACTGTAAGTCTGTGATGCATTTTAAGCTACTGAGACATGTACTTCCCTGGCAGGAGAACAACGGTTGAATATGATGGTTGATATTTTTTCATTAAAATATAATGTTCCGCAAGTGGAAGAGTGGGTTTAAAAAAAAAATGAAATAATATAAAAAGAGGAGGGGGTTTTCCTGGGGAAAAGACACATGGTGGGAAAAAGCACATATTTGTAGTACACCATGGGAGTTTCAGTTCATGTACTTCAAGTGTCCATTTTCCATCTTGGCCTTACTCCCTATTCGGGATCCACTTCTCAAGAACTATAACCATATGACTGTCATGAAGCACTTCTTCACTATAACAAGAGAAAGAGACTGTCATAGATGGCAGGAGATAGGACCAGGGTAACATCAGGAGTACATACAGGAGATAAAGTCTGGCACTTGGAATATAGATGAAAATAGGAAGCACAAAGTACCTGAACTGAAAATTCTCCGGAGGCTTGCCAGAAAGATTTTAGGACCTAAATTTAAGTAGTTTTACTCAAACTCAACCAGCCAAACAGGTATTCTTCCATAGATGAAATTCATCATGTTTTGACCTCTTCTCCTCCAGATTTATCTGATTTCATGCTATTTAGTTGGCTTTTCATCTAGATGTGTGAAGCACATAGGTTCAGCCCAAGAAAGAACATCAGTGGACAAAGTCCTTAAAAACTTTCATTTTACTCACAGGCTGGAACACAGAGGTTTAGGGGAACCCTGTTGTAATATAATGACATGGCAAGGAAAGGCTTGGGAATCTGTAGATACTAAAAGTCAATGGCAAAAGGTGTCCTAATGTTTTTCAAATCAAAGTGCTACAGAAATGGAGTATTTTTTTACTTTCAAAATTCCAGAAAGTACAGCACCTGCTGATATAGAAGATGTTGGGGAGAGGGATGTTTCCAGCCTTCAGGACAGCTCCTTTGATTTGATTCCTTCTAACCTTAAAAAAACAGTCTCTCCGCAAGTCACCCCAACTTGCCACCATGCTAGGAAACATGCTAGAAAAACTAGAATGCCAGAGGAAAACTATCTATCATTAGAAAAGCCAATATCCACTGACTCTTTCATTTCCTCCAGCCCGCAAAGTAACACTTTTGTTTATTTTATGATAACATTAATACACTAGGAAAAAAAAATCAGATGTGTGAAAACTGACCATAGCTTTTATTCTTTAGGAAAAGCATGGAAGAGAAAGAAGCCTTAAGCACATGGAGAGTAAGAATTTGGATCAGCTACTTTTGTGGCTTGAAAGCCACATTGTCAAAGAAACATTTGGTAGTGACTTTGGGGATGTTTCCTCACAGGTACTACAATAGCAACATAACAGAGGACATATGAAAAGAATAAGAAAAGGGAAAAAATATAAAAAAGGAAAAGGATAGACAATAGACATTGAGGATGGTTGGTAGTAAACACAGGAAGGAACTCCTGAGGAGAAGGGGTTTTGGCACCAGAGCTGGGTACCTAATACCTTTCCTGGGCTCTACAGCTAGTAGTTCCTTTTTTTCTTGCCACTGTGCCTCCGTAAAGACCCCCTGGTGCAAGCTTGGCAGTTTGCTTTGGAAGAGCAGGACAACAAAAAACTGAGGACAAGCAGGAGGCAGCAACATGTCAGATCTGTTCCAAGTCTCTGTCATTGCCTTGCCACATACCTATCAAATCACTTGGAGTAACACAAGCTCCTGTAGGGCTCCTCTCTGCCCCAGCAATTCTCGGGCTGGTTACTGGATATTGAAGAGATAAATGAACTTGATTTTCTGTCAATATTTCAAATATTTCAAATGTTTTACACACAAATGACTTCACTGGATGCCTGAGGAATTGCCCCAGTTCAGTTTGCAAAACTAGCTGCAGAGAAAATAAAATCACTTAAACACACTTACTAGTCCACATATATTTTTTCATCAGAAATTGCTCACTATCTAGTATTTAAATATGAGCATTGTAATTTGTGTGTCAAGGAGCAGGCTTGCATAGAAGAGAGCTTGTTTTATTCAATACACTATAGTCAATTTTCCAGCTTAATAGCATAAGCAGCTTTGTTTTTATGGGCTTCTACTTGCAAAGGAAAAGGGAGCCAAGTTGATCATTATATAAGGCAAAAGTAAAGGAAAAGGGAACCAAGTTCATCATGATATAAGGCAAAAGTGATATCTGGGAACAGTAAAGCTTATTTCTATTTTCCCCACTTCCATGCTGCAGGAATATTCTCTTTAACTCTGTTACTTTATATTTACTATCCAAGCTGTGCCAAGTCTGTGAGTACATCCCAAGTGTAAATAGTGCATTTGTATATTTTGTACAGATTTATGGAGTGTGTGGGTGCCTGTGTGATGGATTAGTAAAATTCTGTCACACGCTTGAGGAACCAAATGCCAGCTCTTCCTAGTGAGACACACACTTAGCCAAGTGCTCAGAAACATCAAGCATGCTGTAAATCAGCTCATTGCATGAAAAACAGATTAAAACATTCAGTTTTGATCCCCAAGCATTTTTGATTTAACCACATTAGCTGTCATTTTCTCTCCCCTGTAGGTTTACAAAAGAATGACTAGCTCTCAACAGGTCTACGCAAGGGAAAGGAACATGGCCCTTGCTTTTATTGAATATTCAGAACTAGACTTTCCCCCACAGCTATGTGTTGGACTGTGAGCTCCTCAGAAGTGTCACATTGACTTGTGCTGGGCGATGTCCTTGCTGGACCACGTCCCTGAGACTAGTCACCGTCAAATCAGGGCTAGTTTAGTTCCTAGCTTGAAGAGGCAGCGTCATTGCCCATTGCCAACTCTACAACCAAATGCCTTGCTGGCCCTGCTCCCCACAAGTGACATCCTTCTTATCCATGTGGGAGTGATTGATTCAGCAACCCACTTGGAATATCACAGCAATGACAGCAGGGCTTTGCGAGGAGAGAACTAACTTCTAAGGACGTCCAGGCAATTGTTTGAAGCCCACTAAGGAATAAAACAAGATACCTACAGACACTTGCACATGAAAGAGCAGGCATTTCTAGCTTAAATCTTTTGAAATGGCACACACAATAAATTTCTGTTAGGGAAGCAAGTTGGTCTTGCAGTTCATTGCCACCAGACATTGGTTTTTCCTCTATAAAAACACAACAAGGTAATTATGGGTGCAAACAGGATTAGGCTCATAGCACTTTGAAGAATTCATTCTCTTAGCAGCTTTGTGTTATCACCACTTTCAAAGGAAGTACTTGAAGATGTACCAGCATTGCTATCTGATGATCTTCCTTAGGTTGCGTGATCAAGAACTAGACACAACCAATTCACAACTGTAAATGTCAGCCCTCATGCTAGGCATGCTTTGGTTTTCCCTTAACACACAGAGGGAGGATCAAATGTCACAGTCACTGACTACAGGAAATTATATCAGTTAAGAGGAAAGCCAAAATAATATCAAAAGTTTTTTTTATTGGAACTCAAGATGTATGCAACACAAATATGACATAATTTTAAGGTCAAAGGAGCAGATGGAGGTTTTGAAGGAGTTCTGATCTAAATTCCCAGAGAAAGACCCAGGGCGATAGCTAATATAAATGGTGCCTTTTGCAAAAGTGACTGCATTTGGCAGAGGTCTCCTGCTGGATAAATTCAGCTAAGAGTGTCACAGGGCAGCTGAGTTCCCATAGCACTAGGATGCCGTCAGAAGTGGCAGGGGTCTTTCCACGGTGTTGTAGAAGCCCCTGTACAAAACCACCTCAGTACATGGTTCTGTGTCCCTCTTCCAGATTTGAGCAGGCAAGTAACGAAACTTTTATCTAATGTTTTGATAAGTTCAGGTTTCCTTCTAGCTCCACATTCATTTGCTTTCCAATCCATGTGGTCTTGCCCACAGCTGGCCACCTCTGCAGAGAACTTGAGCTTGCAGTGCATCTGTAATATCTGCATGGTGGGTCACCCACCTCTGTAATCTCCAGAATGGATCAGAATCAGAAAAGTGCAAAGTTGCAATACCAGCTTCCAAATCCCATTCCTGGCACAAAAACAGAAGGACAGTCTTACTGGAGACAGGAATAGACACATATTGGACTTCTGTCCTGCATTAGGGCCTCAGAAAGAGCAAAGGAAAGATTCTGGAAGCTCAGTTACAGAATATCCTGGCCTTACTCAAAAACATACCACGGATTCAAACTGTGTATTTGAAATCTTGCATGAATACATATGTGCCTGTATGTGATATACAAGCATCAAAGACAAGTGTAGGCACATGTGTACACAGGGACAAACATATAGCTGAATTTCAAAAACTAGACCACAACGTGCTAGAATAATAATAATTAGAAAAAAAAAAGGGGGGGGGGTTTAAAAAAAAAAAAAAAAGGCAGCCCAAGCACTTAGCCTTTCTCTTCATGTTTCTTTGGTCTTGTATTTGGAATATAAGCAATACAGAAGCCGCAGTGTAGTCTTTATATCGCCTTTCACAACATCTGTGAATACACAAGAAACAACCAAACCAGGTGGGAAGCATTAGAACTATCTGGAATAGAAAGAGGTACCAATGCCAAAGACAACCTTCCACATTTCCCCAATTACAGTGCAAATGGAGACAATCTAATTGCAGTGAGAAGAAAAACAGGATCTACAGAGTTAGAAAAGTATTTGATTCCTCAAACGAACTAAAGAAAAAGGGGCTTTCACTGCACTATCTTCCTGGAAGACAAGATAAATAATAGATATCCAGAAACAATTCTTCACCTGTAGAGATAATGAACTTTATCCAATTTAATGAACTTTAAAGAGTTAGCTTTTTATGATTTTGCTCAGATATGAATCATTACAGGCATTACCTAACACTTTATTTTTCTGTTGCAATGTTTCCATCATGTTTTACTGCTGTTGATTGTTTTCTTTTTTTTCTTCCAGGCTTCAGCTTTCATGTTTTTGTTAAACAACTTGCTCTCATGTTTATTAAATGTAATGAAAGAAGTTAAGTGATGCAGAGCATTTACCATTCTTCTTACATTTCTGTAAATCGCTAGTAGACAGCTCACGCTAAATGGTCATAATTCTTCCTTGAGCTATTTTAAATACATTAATGTATTGACATGCCTCAGCCCTCTCCAGCAGACAGTCCTATTCTTAAGCAGAGCTAGTCAAAATCATTTGTGGGAGTCACTTTGGTTTTTAATTGGAAAATTGGACTCATTCAAAGAAATTTTTTTTGGCGTGAAAAGAGATGGGACCATGAAAAAGACAGGTCAAAGCATTAACGCTGTGAAGAAAGCACTCATGTGGATGCAGGAGATCAGGATTCAGCCACCAGGACTGAAGTAGGCAGAATAATAACTTAAATCTATGAATTTCCCATTCAGGATACTCTCCTGCCAGGTATCCTGGATTTGGATAGAGCGAGCAGCCTTTCTGATTTTCAGGACATATTCAGGAAAGTCTCTTTCCACTATCAACAAGCTTGCTTTTATATCACACAAACTTCTTTAGAATTGAGAAATGGCTTTCCCATCAGGTTTGCTGTTGAGTTTTCCTTAAGGACAATCACTGTTTCAAATCTTTAGCAAGTCCTGACTTACCAAACAACGCGAAGCATCAGTGCCGCATTGCAAAACTTTCTGTTTTCCATCTCCCTAACTTCAGCCAAACCAGGGTATTAGCAACGCCAGGTAAGCTTTTGTGTCAGGACTCACCTTCAGAGTTCACAGAAAAATTGAGCAGACCTCCATCCGCCAGCAAGTCCAGCGCAAGGTTCACGTTGTGAAGCTGTAGATGAGAAAGGGGGATCAGTGCACCAGAAAGTGTCCTCCACCCATGGGTGCACAGACCGGGCTGGTTTTAATAATGTTTCTCTAGTAGCTGAAGAATGATATCGATTCCTCTTCCTTTCTTTGGGTGCGATGGGGTGCTTATCAGAATTTCTCCTAACAAGCATATAAAGTTTGCAGTAAAACCCAATCTCCATTCAAATGTATCCCACTTTATTCCCAAATGCTTTCCCAGATTATCCCAAAATAATTCCTCCTCCCTTGTACATCCCTTTGGCTTCCAGTTTATCCTTGGAGAGGTACATAATAAAATGCCAGCATGCAGCTCCTTATTGCCTTCCGACAAGAAATTATGCACTGGGGTCCCCCATGCATAAGCCAGGCAGGAACTGTGTGCTCCAAAGTGAAATAAGAGCTTCCCGTTTCACCAAGCTCTGGGATTTATGGGTGACAGAGCCCGACAGTTTGGACTGGAGCTTGTTTTCAGCCTCTCCCAGCTGGCAGCTGTGAGCACTTCAGTTCATATGCAGGCCTGCACAATTTTTAGATTGGAATGAATAAATCAAATTTTTTCTTAATGGACTGGCAAAGGAGAAAAGGTGGTATTTTCCCCTCTGTAAATATATCAGAGTTGCACAGAAAGATAACCCACAGATTTCAAAATAAATCTCCAGGCAGAAATGCTGGTAATTACCAAAGAAGGGCAACCTTGAAAAATAAGCTGTTTTGCTCAGCATTATTTCTAGACTCAAAAATGCTTGCAAAATTATTTAAGATTTATGAGCTGATAGAGAGGGGGAAGTCTGGAGTATTTGGGATCTGATCAGGCAAAAAAAAGAATCTCAGGATTATTTGCTTTGGAGGCAGCAGCTCCCGACTACACGCTTACAGCTGGAAAGGAACCTGAAACGGCGCTCCGATCTCAGCCACCCCTCCTGAGATGGGAATGACACGTTTGAAACCTTCGCAGAGGTCACGTTTTCATACCTTGCTGTACCAATTAACGTCAAAAACGACAGGGAGCTGCGAGGCCCGTGGGAATTGAAAGGCACATTTTATGGGGAGATCAAAGGTGAGCTGTGGGAGTTCAATATTTTTAGTGAGACTGTCATTCTGGTTTTTGTCTTGTAATGAACATCCTCCGAGATGAAAAATACCGCTTGGGTAAAGTGTTCGACAGCAACTATGGTACTTGAAAGTAACTTTGCAAAAAAGAAATTACTGGCACGTACAGTGCAGATAGGCTCCAACTTGCACCCAAAACTGCTTCCCTGAAGAAGATTTGCAAGGCTTGAACAGGGCTGGCCAAAACCAAAAAGGTTATCTATATAATTTTAAGTCAAAAAATATTCACTGAATTCTTTTGAAAGAGATTACTTGAAATATTAGAAGTTATTTCCCGTTCAGTAGAGCAGAGCAAGCAATTTGGAAAGCCAGGTAGGTGGAAGAGGAACAACCAGTAGAAATGCTTCATTTTTTTCTTGATTTGACCCTTCAAAAAATATTTCCCTGTTCTGAATATTTTTATTTTAAAACTCCAAATATTCCTGACACACAAAATTCAAACCTTGACCTCACACAGCTGAAGCTGTGAGAGACCCTTCAAGGGCACTCTCAGGCATTTGGCTTCCCACGCTGCAGCAGCTACATCAAGCCACACACAGCTGACTTACAGGTGTACAGAGGGGTGATGTTTGAAGCAACAGTCCTTAATAACTAAGGAAGAACCTACCATCTCCGTGGGGCTGGCTGGAGTCAGAAAGAAATCTCTTAAATTCAAGAAGTAGCCCTCCAGCTGCCCGATCAGCAGGAGTAAGATGACTCCATCTGCAAACTAGAAGGATGATCCCCATGTTATTTATTAAATTGGCCTTTAGGAATCATGCTAGATAAATGCTTTTCTAGTCTAATAGGAAAGGAAATGGCACAGCAGCAAATAGGCTAAAAATTCAGTTTCTTGTACCTCTTAGAATCACGGAATCATCATGTTTGGAAAAGACCTTCAAGAACATCAAGTCCAACTGTAAACCCATCACCAGCTTTTACACTGAACTTCATATTTGGTTACAAACAAACTAAAACACATTGGTAGCAATGCGACCTCATAAAAGACTAGCTCCCATAGCGAGCAGAACACAGGAACACCCCACTCCAAGCAGGATACCTGAGACTCAATGTCTTTCACATTTAATCCCAATTTTCCAACATGCTGGTTGACAAATTGCAGAAATACCTGAAGAAAACAGATGGGGAGAAGAGAGGGAAAGAAATGAGATTTTTTTTTCTTTTGTTCAGAGGGGCTGTGAATTATATATTACTTTGCAAATTCCAGTGTCTATTTAAAAATTAAATCACCTGTTTTACCGCATCCAGTCTATCTGGAGCATGGCTGAATAATTCATCAAAGGCATCATCTGCTATAGCAAAACAACATTAATTGCTATTATTTTAGAAGACCATCATATCAGAGGTTTAGAAGGGCTTGAGAAGGAGGGAGGTGTGAGTCTTATAAACCAGGGAGTAAAAAGAGCTGCTAGGCGAGGGGAAAATCCTGCTTTTGTGTTTAACAGAGTGGGGCTTCAGGCTTCCCAGCCTGGAGGCTGCTGGGTTGCCCTCCCTCTTTGCTAAGCATTAAAAACAGAGAAGAGCCATCACTTTAAAGAGCGGATTCTGCATTTCTCCTCCCAGCAGGATCAGGCTACTGGAGGAAACATCCATGGGCATTTTTCCGTGCTAAGTACATATTAAAGGAAACATTTTACATCTATGCAGCAAATTTGGTACATAGTAGCACGTAGTAGACATAGTAGACAAATACCGAATTTGGCAATGTACTTACTTGACTGGTCTTCTAAATTTCCTCTAAAGGTTCAAAAAAAGAAGAAAGAGTTAGAAAAAAAATAGCAAAAACTAATCCTATTCATAAGCAAAGCTTATCTGTGCCATAAGGCATCTTGTAAAGCAGCAGGTACAGCACAAAGTGTCATTAACTGTATGTCAGAACAACTTTTCAATAGGCATTAAGTATATTGTATATCCGTATAGACACTTAGAAGTGTATATAAGATTTTAACTGGCACGCAGACCAATAAATATTTATTTTATAAGCATAATTTGTAATATCCTCTTCCTATAAGCTCCTCATGATGTTAAAACTTAAAGATGTTCTGTATATCAAAGATGATAGTTGGAAAGTCTGTTTCTAATTCTTGAAAAGATGTCCGTATTCTGTGTATAAATGGTATCCTACTATTCAACTCATTTAATAATCACAACACCTCACATAGAAGCTCAAAGCTTTGTTCTTCAACAGTAAAATAATGAAAAACTCCTTCTTGTATTAATAAATTAAGATAAAAGAGCAATAAATTGTTAGTAGATTTACACTAAAAATTTCCACTTTAATCTTGGACACATAAACATACAACACTGGATTTTTATTACTACGTTTGTGTGGTTTTACTACTATTAGTAAAACCTAATGAGGATTGATTGGTGCCTTCACTTCAGGCACTAATTCCATGGCAGTAACAAACTTCAAACCTCAGAAATGCTCACAGACTTTCTTTAAGAGAAATATAAATAAAAAGTAAATCAGAAAGGTATTAGACTGTAATATTTAAGTTAGGGTGATGGAAAAAAAAGAAAGCAAAAGCACAGTTAATATGAATATGCATTCCTGGTATTATGATTTTTGTTGCCATCATGCTCCAATCTTTCTTTTAAGGAGGGAACCCCCCCACTTCAACATTTCCTTTCGTAAAAGCCAATATACATCCCCTCTTACTTGGTATCTGTGATATATTCCAATCTCGTTTCTGTCTTTAATCCTCTAGAGGTGTTCTGTTAAGAAGACAAGAAATATTTTCCTTTTTTTATTATTTTAAAATATGTATAAATATATCTGAAAGCAGTAAGGAGATGTCCATGACCTGTTTGGTACCATAAGCACTTACCAGAAGGTATTTATTTTTCCATATTTTGCTCTTCTGCCCTTGAACACTTTTGCAGCTTTTCTTCCCCTCTCTGAACCCCTGTCTTCACGGTTTTCCCTCACTTTTAACCTATTGATTTATTTTCCCCCTCAGGACACTACCCAAGTTATTTCCACTGCCATTCATCTTTCCTTCAGAGCTAATATCCATTTCCAAGGCCGTGCTTTCCCAAATGATCCAACTTTGGAGTAGCAGAGGCATCCATGGCCTCGCAAGGAATCACAGGGCAGGCTGCTTTATGAAACATCTGAATTTTGACTAAGCAGATCCGCAGATCCACACTTCACAAGCTGCTGACTCTGGCCCAGCAATGTGCAATTTAGATTCCTCTTGGAAATCAGAGAGGCTACTCGTGCGCTTAAGTGCTAGGCTGAAATGGGTCCAAAACAGCTACCTTGGCAGACTGCAGTCTCAGAAGAGGTTGTCCCTCCAGGACCTTTTAATCTTGTCTGACTGAAGTATGTAGCTTAAGCACACACACCATTTCAGCCCTGAATTTGATGCTCCAAACAGCGAAGAGTGCCAGCTAATGGGCGTCCAGACTATGCTTACAACACGACTGAATCACGAGTTTTTTGTTAAACACGTAACAAAATTGCGAGATATAGGATGTTTTTCTAAATTCCCAGAGACAGAGCATCAGGTGTGAATCTCAGCATCGACTTGAAGAACGGAAAGAGAGAAAGAAAGCAGGCAAATCTTGGCTAGCAGAGAAAAATAGCAAAATGGGATCTTGACAGACAGTAAAAGCTGCCTTCCTCTAAGAAAATAAAGACTTAGCATTAAACAAATGTCATGATTTAAGAGTACAGGTTTCTATTTTAAAACTCTGGAGGTAGCAACAGCAGAATTTGTTCCTTTTTTCCTCATTTACAAAGATCAACACCTGTTTTCCATTTGGCCCGTTTCTTTTGGATCAAGGGGAAGAGAGAGCACAGTAGTTCTGCTCTTTTAAAGATACAGCACCAATGCTAAGCACAAAGTAACAGTTTGCAGCAACAAACAGCTTAGAAATTAAAAGGCATAGTTCACAGAAAGCAAAAGAAATATTTTATAGTGCTGCACCCACATTCCTCCCTAATTCTAAGCAAATTAAGCCCTGTAATCCATAGTAGCAAATATAAAAACTATAATTACCTCAATAGTCATTGTTTCCACTTGAACATTTGCAGGAATAGCCAGATCAGGTTGGAAGTGCTTTGCTATTGCAACCAGAAGGTGCAGTGTGCTTAGTAAGTCCTTCGACAAGATAGCTGTTCCACACAAAGAAAGGAAATAACTTTTAGCACGCAAAGCAATTAAATCTCACTGTAATATCCTAAATGGTCCCTGTGCAAAAGACCCCAATGTCATGGAAGGCCATATCACAGGTGCAGCACCAGATTTGGGATAATATAACATCACAAATAAGCACTATCACCACTTAAATGAACATTTGGTGAGATACATACAGCCCGTAAGTTAGCGTAGTAGTGGTCTACGCACTTTGACATGTTTGCATGACCTAGTGTTAGTCGGATATTCATGTCAGATAATTCTATTGGAATCCAACTTATAATTAAAACATCATTTAATTCCTGTTGTAGCACCCTAACCCCAAAAGGTCCTTTGCCTCACAGCAGGTTGATAACAGAGGACCCCCACAATGGTTAATTCCCTCCCATGTCTCTTCTGCACCCACATTCTACGCTCCACTTCAGCTGATTTTCTTCCAGCTGCAGACACTTAGCCACAGCTTCCAGGATCACAGCGAGCTTCTGGCGCTGTTTTTTTTCTGTTAACGCAATCTTGTCCACATCCAGCTTGAGGGATCCTAGGTGTTCTTCATCGGAGAGGCGATATGAAGATGAATGTACATTAAGACCACCATAGGGAAAAAAAAAAAAGGAAAACAAAAACATAAAATCACAGTAAAGCACATCAAATCTTGCTTTAAATGCCTGATACCACTTAATAGCTTCTATAGCTACAGCTCCTCATCCCGCAGCTGCATGTGTTAAATTTCTGGTCTTTCCAGAAGCCTCAGTAAAATGAGGGAAGCTCTGCAAAAGAGGTAGGACTCCAGTGCCTGCTCAAAGCATCGTTCTCTGACCCCAACATCCCTTATTTTCCTGGTGGAAACTACATAAAAACAATAGAAGACAAGCAGACATTTATTCAGAATTTCACTAATCACAGAGTGTTCATAGCACATAGCATGCTTCTGTTTTGCCATTAAAGAGAAGCGAGACTCCAGCAGCCCTACGACTACTCTAATTCCTGTTGTTTAGTCCTGAATTTTCTCTCTGATTTTCTTGGGAGCTAAATTCACAGGCAGCTTACCCAGAAGATGATGAAGTACCAGCCCGTCAAACAAATCCTCCTCCAGGCTTTTGACTACTATGTGCTCTTGTTTCAGAGTGGCGTTAATCCAGTCAATCAAAAACTGTAGAGGGAAATAAAGCAGTTGACAACTCTATTCTTGCTGTTTAAACACATACCCAGTGCTGCACCGTGTTGTACCTTCCTTTTTGGTCTCCTTATCTTACATCTAGTTTTGTTTTTGTTCTCCTTTTCTTTTGGGCCTTTTTTTTTTTTTTAAATAAAAAGGGAAGTGAAAGTTAAGTAGCAGTTCTCCCTAACAATACCAGGCTTGCTGGTCAATTCTGGCCAAATCTCTAAGGGGCATAAATACCTCAGAAGTTTTATCTCAGAAATTATATTCGGATATGTTTTGCAGAAAGAGATATGCAGGAAAGAGGGGTTATTCCT